CAGCAGGTAGTTTTGAACTGCACACCTTGAGGTTAGCAGCCCAATTCACAACCACTGTACTACCAGAGCTCTTTATCTTGGGAGGAACCCCATTTATCTTGGGTTTTCTCCCAATACATTCTTCTGCTGCTACCTGAAGTTTCAGATTCCAGCATGGCTCCCTGGTAGCTAAGGTTGTTTCCTTCTGTCAGATGCTGGGGACACAGTGTGTCAAACCAACCCATCTACTGTTGGGAGGTGACCTTTGCCAGAGCTCAGACCACCTCCCATAGATCATCAGCACTGCCCCCCAGTCTTAGCTGCCCCACTCCATTCCTAGAGCTGCACATACCTAACTCAGTTTTAACCCACTGTGATGGCTGTTCCCCACTCTCCACCCACTGGACCATTTCTCAAGTCAATCTTGATGTGCTACTAGCCCAGTCAGAATCCTTTACTCTTGTAGTACACAAAGACTCATCTAGGGACTGAGGCCTTTTCTCCAAATCTGTTCTTTATCCCTAACCTGGACTGCTAACCACAAGGTTGGCAGCTCAAACCCACCAGCTGCTACTTGAAAACCCTATACAGGGTCACTGAGTTGGAACTGACTCAACGGTACTTAACATCAGCAACAAGTAATCCATGCTACTGACCTCATACTGCTGCCCAGCAATGCTAGCCTCTAATTCGGTGGTTTATAAACCTGCGATCCTAACAGCTTTTGGTGTATTTCTAAGTAAAACAAAATAAGACTGTTGATGGATGGATTAATATAGTCAAATGTAGTAGTAAGTACATAGGTGTTTGCTATAAAATCCTTTGAACTGATTATGTTTGCAGATTGTTCATGAAAAAAGTTGGGAAGTTGTTGCAAAGACGTGAACACTAGGAAATCTACATACTCTAAACTAGTCAGTTACTAAAAAAAATTAAAAATTAAAAATCACGCATTAGTATAAGACCCATTCAATATGCAGGAGAGACCACTGGATTTTAGTGCAGCAGAATATAGAACATTCAACAACAAGTTTTCAAATTACGACAGATCTTTCAGTTACTACTACTTGTTTAGTTGAGGACTAAGGTGTGCCTGATCCAAGCCATGGTATTTTCAATAACCTCATATGCATATGAAAGCTGGACAGTGAATAAGGAAGAGCGTAGAAGAATTGATGCTTTTGAGTTATGGTATTGGAGGAGAATATTGAAAGTGCCATGGGCTGCCAAAAGAACCAACAGATCTGTACTGGAAGAAGTACAGCCAGAGTGCTTTCTGGAGGCCAGGATGGCCAAACTTCGTCTCATACTTTGGACATATCGTCAGGAGAGACTAGTTTCTGGAGAAGGATATCATGTTTGGTAAGGTGGAGGATCAGAGACAAAGAGGAAGACCCCCAGAAAGATGGATTGGCAAAGTGGCAACATCAATGGGGTCAAGTGTGGCAACAGTAGTGAGGTTGGCCCAGGATTGGGCAGTGTTTCGTTCTGTTGTGCATAGGCACCTAACAACAACAACTTGTTTAGTTTTAGTGAAGTATCAAAGTTGGGTGAACCAACTTGAATACATTCAGCCACCACTACTACCAAAGATGGATATCCAAACCCCCCTCTAAGACTGAAACTCAGAGGGAAGACATTGAGCAGGCATGTAAAACTTGCTGCAACCACATTGGTCTACTGGTTAGTGCT